AAACCAAAATGTAAAATACATCAATATTTATCCATGGGTGTACAAAGATAAAATATTTACCTTGTAAACGGGTCCATACCCACCCTCTCCAAGCTTATTTTCGAACGAAAAATCATTTGTTGCTGCTTTAATGTCACCAAAACTAAATACTTGCAAATTAGGGGCATCTGTACTTCCAGCAGTTGCCATAGTAGTTCCCATTTTGGACTGTGAATTCTTCTCTGTACCCACCATTCCACGAGCACAACACACATGACATTAGGGAATATGTTAATCTCTTCATTTCCTACACTTTAGATGTTGAAAGAGCTTTGAATTTTGAATTTTTATGATGAATATCAAAATTTCTCGCATTGCCACCTCACTCCAACAAGGAGATACCAATTGCATTGCACCTTTATATATTTTTATACTTTTGTACATAATTATTTGAAAATTATTCAATTTGACGCTTTGCATGAAAATTTTGTACACATTTCTATTAAAAAAGACCATATGCTCTGTTTTCTTAAATTGATAGTCCAATGCGAGAACTATAATCTTGCTAGGTGTAAATTAAGAATTTGAAAATCTTTCAAGATGCAAAATGTTATTTGTCCATTTAGAAATTTTACCTTTAAATATGCTGATAATCAATTTCTTCCGTAGGTACCACATCCCAGAGCCTAGTAAGAGAAGTACTATTGCAGTTGTTGGAAGCAAAATAATTAGGAGCAATGGCTGCTCCCGCTTGTCTTGATGATATTTCTCCTCTTCTTGAGCTATAAACGTAGTTAAAATTTTAAGGAAAATCAGAGACTAGTGAGAAAAATTCTAACAAAACTAGGCCCAAAAGTGTTTGTGGCATACCAAAGTAAAAGACTCAGAATCCATTTGGTAAAAAACATGAAATTTTAACAAAAACAAAAAAAAATTATCTGACTATCACAAGCACAAATGAAAAAGTCAATAATCAATACAATTAATTACTCTTTTTAATTGATCAATTACATCAATCAAACACACTCTCTCTCTTATGTCTCTCCTTTAAAAACATCAATTCCCACTCTCTCTCTCTCTCTCACACACACACACACACACACAAAAATAATTTTTGTTTCCAAATAAAAACAAAATAAAAGATTATCTCTCACTTTTGGCTTATGACCGTCTTTTTCATTCACGCAACAATGGCCATCAAATCAGCCCCGGTATATTATTTTATACTCGTACTTTCTTTTTTGCAATGTTATTTAGTACAAAATATAGTTTCAATCAATTTATTCATATTATAATATCCTAAGTTTTAGGAACACTAATGATAAAATTAAGTGCTATTGCTTTATAATTTTGATTTTTATTAAGTTTTTCATAGAGAGTATTTGATTGATTTATAAAAACATTTGGATTGTCGAAAAACTATGGTTACTATAAAACAANGTTTTATAATTTTGATTTTTATTAAGTTTTTCATAGAGAGTATTTGATTGATTTATAAAAAAATTTGGATTGTCAAAAAACTATGGTTACTATAAAACAACAATTCAGATATAAGGAACTGAAAAATGGAGAGAAAAATAGAAAAACTTATTGAATCATTAAAAAAAAAAAGATCTCGTAATAAATTCTAGTGAAAGTTTTGAAATAAAAAAGTGAAAGATCTTAAATAATTAGAAGATATTGANTCGTTGTCCAATAAAATGTTGCTAGGTTTCAGATCTCTATGAATTATTGTTAATCTCGAGTAATCTTGGAGGTATAAGGGCCCTTGAGTAACCCCTTCAATGATGCGAGCACGTTTTCCCCAATCTAAAAGTAATCGCTTTATTGGATCTACATCCAAATTTTGGGAACAATAAGCCACTAACTTTTGCAAGTAAAACGAATCAAACTAGACTAACATACACATCTATNTATTGGATCTACATCCAAATTTTGGGAACAATAAGCCACTAACTTTTGCAAGTAAAACGAATCAAACTAGACTAACATACACATCTATGCGAAGACAACACAGACATTGTGTGATGTTGCACCTCTAGAAGCTTAAAATGACTAACCTTACATATGATAAACAATAATTCTTTGAAGTAAGAATGGAATATTGAACGTGGAACGAAACTGGAACTCGAGATACCTCTAGCAAGTGTTCAATTATATTGCTCATTATTTTTTTGCAATTATGTTAACATTTGAAGAATTATGTATTACTGACCATAGATATAGAAATCCAAGCTTTTGTTGGGCATGTACTCATAGATCAACATCTTTTCTTCTCTTTCAGTGCAAAATCCCAGAACTCTCACAAGATTTATGTGTTGTAGCTTTGCAGTAAGTATGACCTCATTCTTAAACTCTTCAAATCCTTGCGTAGAAGCTTTGGAAAGTCTTTTCACTGCTATTTCCTGTCCCTTCAACCTACACTGCAAAGCATACACCACCAATTTGCATTAATTCTTTACTACCTCTTAGCCAGATTCTACACAAGACTCGCGTCTATAAGAGAGTCTGGTAGNCTACACTGCAAAGCATACACCACCAATTTGCATTAATTCTTTACTACCTCTTAGCCAGATTCTACACAAGACTCGCGTCTATAAGAGAGTCTGGTAGATGTAAGTGGTAGGCTAATTCTAGACTCTAACCCGCGACATATCATTTGAGTGAAAAACCAAAATGTAAAATACATCAATATTTATCCATGGGTGTACAAAGATAAAATATTTACCTTGTAAACGGGTCCATACCCACCCTCTCCAAGCTTATTTTCGAACGAAAAATCATTTGTTGCTGCTTTAATGTCACCAAAACTAAATACTTGCAAATTAGGGGCATCTGTACTTCCAGCAGTTGCCATAGTAGTTCCCATTTTGGACTGTGAATTCTTCTCTGTACCCACCATTCCACGAGCACAACACACATGACATTAGGGAATATGTTAATCTCTTCATTTCCTACACTTTAGATGTTGAAAGAGCTTTGAATTTTGAATTTTTATGATGAATATCAAAATTTCTCGCATTGCCACCTCACTCCAACAAGGAGATACCAATTGCATTGCACCTTTATATATTTTTATACTTTTGTACATAATTATTTGNTTTCTCGCATTGCCACCTCACTCCAACAAGGAGATACCAATTGCATTGCACCTTTATATATTTTTATACTTTTGTACATAATTATTTGTAAATTATTCAATTTGAAGCTTTGCATGAAAATTTTGGACACATTTCTATTAAAAAAGACCATATGCTCTGTTTTCTTAAATTGAGAGTGCAATGCGAGAACTATAATCTTGCTAGGTGTAAATTGAGAATTTGAAAATCTTTCGAGATGCAAAATGTTATTTGTCCATTTAGAAATTTTACCTTTAAATATGCTGATAATCAATTTCTTCCGTAGGTACCACATCCCAGAGCCTAGTAAGAGAAGTACTATTGCAGTTGTTGGAAGCAAAATAATTAGGAGCAATGGCTGCTCCCGCTTGTCTTGATGATATTTCTCCTCTTCTTGAGCTATAAACGTAGTTAAAATTTTAAGGAAAATCAGAGACTAGTGAGAAAAATTCTAACAAAACTAGGCCCAAAAGTGTTTGTGGCATACCAAAGTAATAGACTCAGAATCCATTTGGTAAAAAACATGAAATTTAAAAAAAAAAAAAAATTATCTGACTGTCACAAGCACAAATGAAAAAGTCAATAATCAATACAATTAATTACTCTTTTTAATCGATCAATTACATCAATCAAACACACTCTCTCTTCTATGTCTCTCCTTTAAAAACATCAATCCCCACTCTCTCTGTCTCTCACACACACACACACACACAAAAATAATTTTTGTTTCCAGATAAAAACAAAATAAAAGATTATCTCTCACCTTTGGCTTATGACCGTCTTTTTCATTCACGCAACAATGGCCATCAAATCAGCCCCGGTATATTATTTTATACTCATACTTTCCTTTTTGCAATGTTATTTAGTACAAAATATAGTTTCAATCAATTTATTCATATTATAATATCCTAAGTTTTAGGAACACTAATGATAAAATTAAGTGCTATTGCTTTATAATTTTGATTTTTATTAAGTTTTTCATAGAGAGTATTTGATTGATTTATAAAAACATTTGGATTGTCGAAAAACTATGGTTACTATAAAACAACAATTCAGATATAAGGAACTGAAAAATGGAGAGAAAAATAGAAAAATTTATTGAATCATTAAAAAAAAAAAGATCTCTTAATAAATTCAAGTGAAAGTTTTGAAATAAAAAAGTGAAAGATCTTAAATAATTAGAAGATATTGAAATTATATGATGAAAAAATAACAAATAAAATTTTTATAATAATGGTCGAAAATGTAATATAATAATTCTTGATCATGAAGAACATACAAAAAAATTATTAGTAATTTTTATTTTTAAATAATAAATTAAATAAAATTTTATATTAATAATAAAAAAAAAATCCCGCTTAAAATCCTCGCTTTAGGCCCCAAAACAGCTCGAGCCGCCCTTGTTAAGCAAAAGGCAATTTTTGTTAAAAAAAACCAAAAGGTATTTAAATAATACATTTATATATGTGCATATATGTACTAATATACAGATGATTAAGGAAATAAACAAATGCTATATTAATAATAATAAAAAAAAATAGCATTTAGTTCAAAAAATTTCATATAATAATATTGAAAGAAAAGGAAAAACTACAAAAAATAAAAATCACACATTTTCGACTTACGGTACCTATTACACGGATTATTTGTGTTTAACAATAAATTGGTTGTGTCATTTTTGAATTCATATTGTATTGGTGTTTGTTTGTAAAATTGAAAGTTCTAATCACCAGATATTAGGAAGATAGTGCTCACCTGCTTGAGAAAGCACCCAATTGTCATCATGGGCGACTTGCCACACAAAGTAGCCAAGTAAATTCCTCTTCTTAGCATAAGCAACCTTAATTTTGACAACCTCAACATCATCAAAACCTATCCAAGTCGATCCAATGGTGCAGTAATTCACCACATAAGTTGCATTATACATTGAAACANAGAGTAGCCAATTAAATTCCTCTTCTTAGCATAAGCAACCTTAATTTTGACAACCTCAACATCATCAAAACCAATCCAAGTCGATCCAATGGTGCAGTAATTCACCACATAAGTTGCATTATACATTGAAACAGCTCCATATCTTTGAATGTACCCTTTGATATCCTTACAGCTCATTGACCCATCTTCAGTAATGGCTGGTCCCTTTGCTGGTGCACCAATTTCACTGTTGTTTGGGCTCACAAGTGTCCATGCATACCCATAGAAAGGCAAACCCAAAACCAGCTTGTCAGTTAATAATCCACTGTTTNACAGCTCATTGACCCATCTTCAGTAATGGCTGGTCCCTTTGCTGGTGCACCAATTTCACTGTTGTTTGGGCTCAGAAGTGTCCATGCATACCCATAGAAAGGCAAACCCAAAACCAGCTTGTCAGTTAATAATCCACTGTTTATCCAAGCATTTATACCATAATCTGTGTTTTGCTCACTCCCTGGATCATATAAAGCATGGAGTAATCATATGCCATTACATGTACCCAATTCAAGTTCTTCCTTATAGATTCAACTGGAAAACTTGTAGCATCAAGATATGGTGAGTACTGAACAGCCATTGTTAAAATAAGTTGTGTATTATTATTGCTAGAGTTTCTGGATTCGGATTCTATAGCTGTTCGCCATTCGTCGAAAAGGTTGGCTATGTTGGCCATGTCTGAGCCAGTACTTGCAGAAACCCAACAAAAATCTAAGCCGTCAAACCCATATAATCTTGCTGTTTTTATTGAAGAATCAATAAAGGACTTCCTATGGGAAGATTGGCCAACCATTGATGAATATACCGAGTAGTTGGCTAGACCACCAGCAATGGAGAGAAGAGAAACAACTGATGGATTTTTAAGTTTGACAGTGCTTGTGAAGGCAGAGAAGTAGGGCTTATCTGATGAAGAGATTGAAAGCTGGTAGGTGGTAGAATTGAGGTCTGAAAAAGCACAAATAAGGTGGGTGTAGAGAGCCGAGTTAATATCTGTGATGGGTAAACCACTGCCTGAGAGCCAGTATCCAGATTTGATNGGTGGTAGAATTGAGGTCTGAAAAAGCACAAAGAAGGTGGGTGTAGAGAGCTGAGTTAATATCTGTGATGGGTAAACCACTGCCTGAGAGCCAGTATCCAGATTTGATCCATGTTTGTGCACTTGAATATGGCTGTTGAAATGGAAGGAAAGCCAAGAGGAGGATAGCAAATATAGCAATAGTCAAGGCCATTGAAGGCAGTGGTTTATACATTCACAGGTTCAGCGATGAGCCTCGTGTATTGGATACGTCGAATACAACCCGATGGAAGCCCCCTCTACCTCCAAATCTGAAGTTTAATTGCGATGAGACATTTGATAGTAAAACAAAGAAGTCGGATGTTGGGATGGTGCTAAGAGACAGCAAGGGTACCTTGATCGAGGGAAGAGGAATGAAGATCCCCTTTGTATCCAGTTGCTATGCCGAAGCTCTAGCAGTGAGGGAAGCCTGCCTTTGGGCTCTGTCAATTGGAGCAGTCGTATTGAAAGCGTAATCAAGAGGTAAACCACTTAACCTCGAAGGAAGGAGTTCCTGATGAGTTTAGAAATATCCTGTTAGCAGACTGTTTTCGTTTTTATTTTCAATGAAAGGGTAGAAGAAGTTGTTTCTGTAGAGTTTAAGTTTATGATACCCACACAAAAAACATAGTGATAGACATAACTATTGGTTTGATTAATTTGAACGCATTAATTATAGAAATAACAAAATAATATAGAATATTAAAATAAAAATATTGTATACATCTATATAATAAAACACATAAAAAATTAAATTTTAANATAGACATAACTATTGGTTTGATTAATTTGAACGCATTAATTATAGAAATAAAAAAATAATATAGAATATTAAAATAAAAATATTGTATACATCTATATAATAAAACACATAAAAAATTAAATTTTAAATTTTGAATAATGTAATCAAAGAAACGAAGAAAAAAAATTATTATTTAATATAGTGAGATCGATTTTTTAAAATTTAAATTTTATATTTTATTGTACTTTGAGACACAAATTATTATTAGTGTCAAAATATTATGAATAAAAATTGAAGTTATNTAATGTAATCAAAGAAACGAAGAAAAAAAATTATTATTTAATATAGTGAGATCGGTTTTTTAAAATTTAAATTTTATATTTTATTGTACTTTGAGACACAAATTATTATTAGTGTCAAAATATTATGAATAAAAATTGAAGTTATGTAATGTGTACAGCTAGAGGGTGTGTTTGGTTCAGAATGACAAAAGAGGGCATTGAATCGGATAAGATTAATGTTATTGGTAATTAAAATTTAATTTAATTTATTAATTTAATTATGTTTTAAGTAATTTTAATAAAAAAATTCAATAGAGACAATCATAATAATATTATNGATATGTCAACAAAAAAGGGCATGTGTATAGCTAGAGGGTGTGTTTGGTTCAGAATGACAAAAGAGGGCATTGAATCGGATAAGATTAATGTTTTTGGTAATTAAAATTTAATTTAATTTAATTTATTAATTTAACGATGTTTTAAGTAATTTTAATAAAAAAATTCAATAGAGACAATCATAATAATATTATTGAACTAAGTTACTATCACATTACTATAGAATCATAGATCAATTTTTTAAATCTCAAATAATATTATTGATCGAATTATATGTGTCCAGTCCCCATGTCCAATAAAATCTTTCACTTGCTTATTTTTCTTGAATTGGTGGGGTCAGAATAAAATATACAAAAATACCCAATATTTCTCTAAACATAACAATGACCCAAATTAATATTTTTTTGAAACTGATGTGACATAGTCTACATTGGACAAGCTTGGTCAAATCACACGCTTTTTTCCCGGAACCTCACACGCACATGAAAATATCGTACAAACTATCCGATTCGCGGAAAAAATAAATAAAAAATTAGAAGGGAATAACTTTTCAAAAATACACTCTCTCTGATTTTGTGGTTGGTACGATAGATTAAAAATTGAAAGAATAAATTTTATATTGTTTGGTACGGAAAGGAAAGAAATGTGTATCAAACATAAATTTACCTTTCTACCCCTCTACCGGGTGGAATTTTTGTACATACTACTCAAATGAAAAATTTTGTAATTACCGTCAACTCATCTCAAGCACGCATGACCAACAAAATTTTTTATCCTTATCTGCCACGTGGCAGTACAGCCAACCTATACAGAAACATATAACCTTGTTGTGAGTCATGAATCTTGCTTCTAGAAGGTTGGGCCCATTTGTAGTATATGAAATAAGGGGTAAAATGGTAAAAGCTCATGTCATGCCCAAAAATTGATTCATTCTCATTCCTCCCTAGTTTTCACTCTATCTTATTTTCCCTTAACACCAAACGGCAGAAACTTTTTCTTTTCATTCCATTTTCCTCTCTTCATTTTCGTCCACTCTATTTTCCTCTCTATCAACAGACTATAAGTTTGATAATTGAAGTTCAATTCAAGATTTTAAATTCTCTAGACGTGTTATTTGGGTCATGTAACATCATATTCGGGTCTATGTTATTTTGATTTTGTTTCTTGTTCCTGTCATTATTTTGTTGATAAAAACAACTAAAGCTAATAATACATTAATCCATACAATTGTTTTTTTTAGTTTAATATATTTTGATCGATATACGCACAATTCAATTAATTTTATTTTTGATTCGGTCAAAGATAAATTATCTATGTTAAAATTAAAATATTTATAAAAATTAAATCTCTCTCGACTTAACTTTAATAAATTATCAAAATTCAAACTCAGCGTCCCAATTTATCGTTGATTCATGTTGTCATTTGGGCTGGTTTTTCATACAATTGTTGAACTTGCTTGAAAGGTGCATACAACAAAACAACAACTATCGACGAACTCTTCAGAGTAAATTATGTACGAACTGAGCAATGGCTATTTGTAATTCATCACCCATCAAATCATACGTCAAAACTTTCCTGAGCATCGACAAAATCGAAGCCAATGTTGAAGATTGAAAACGAAACAAATAACTTTTTTTTTCTTTGGGAGAATATATCACTTTGCATCTAGAAAGATTTAAAAATTTGTATTTTGTACTCTTAACATTTTAATATGATCTTTTTATTAGTTTTTGTTACTTATTTCGTAAAAAATCATTGTATTGAGTTTGACAGAACGAGTAACAGAAATTAACAAAAATATTACATTACAATACTTTTAATACATTAAAGATATAATATAAAAAATTTAATCTTTTAAAGTACAAAGTAAAAATTATTCAATTTTTAGCACATAAAGTGTAATTTATCCTTTTTCTTTCCAAATTATGCCCTTCTTTTCTCTGAGTTTCTAGTCATTATCATGGTTTTGTCGTACTACCACACGACTCTCTCTTAACGTCTAGCAAGAAAAAGATGATAAAAAATAAAAGAGATAGAAAGTAAAATAACAGAAAAAAAAAAGTGAAATAACATATATTTTAATGTATGCATTTGGTTAGTCCGAAAAATTTTTAAGAAAATTTTAAAATTATTTCATTTCATTGTTTGAAAGAAAGGAAAGTTATAAGAAATTTTTTTTAATTGTCTAAATTATTCTTTATTATTTTAACACGGTCTGAAGAAGAAAAAAATATTTTTTATTATTCAAATTAAAAAAAAATTGGCTCTCAATCTAATTTAGAGACAAGAATCGACTCGAACTCTAATCTCCAGACAAAGTTATATGGTTAGCCTAATTTGCACAAATTTTTTTAAAAATTAATAATTAATTGAATATTTTAAGAAAAATAAGAGTAAAATGAGAAGTTTAGTTATTGAACACAACTTTCTTGCTTTTCCTTGTATTGTTTGCAAGAAAAAAAGTTTGTTAGATGTAAGAAAATTTAAATATGGAAGAAAATTATTTTTTCTATTATTTTCTATTTCATACTAAACAAACACGTGTAAAATTTTAATATTTTCTCTTTTTTGTATTTTCTAGTGTCATCTTACTAAACAAACGGACCCTAGTGGTCGACCAGGTACCGAATCAAAATTTTGGATATCCTACTGTTAAATTTTTGGTAAAATTACATCTAGACTTTTTAAAATTTATCATTTAATCATTTAAATCCCTTAATATTTAAAATATTATATACAAACCCCTTTAAAGTTTGTTAAGCATAACACTTAGACCTTTTGAAATTTATAGATGTATAACACTTAGACCTTTCAAATTTAAAATATTATGCTTAGACTCTTTACTAGTTAAAGAACTAACAAAATATATTAAACGATCAAATTATTCTAATTAAAAATAGAAAATATTATGTCAATTATAGTTTGACAAATTATTTGATTTTTTAATTTTATACCAATAAACAGTATAATTGTATGTAAATAAACGCTGAATTGAGTCATTTGATATATTTATATTGATTACTATACGCAATTCATACTTTTGAGTCACTTACTGACTTAGGCATAGGAGAGTCGGCCTCCGGTCTCCAACTTCTTTTTCAGGTGATTGAAGTCCAACAAATTGACATGGAATCGTTCAAATTTTGGCATCAACAGTACTATTTATGATTTTTTTAAGAAAAAATTTAATTTTTATTTTTGATGTTATTNCAAACTGACATGGAATCGTTCAAATTTTGGCATCAACAGTACTATTTATGATTTTTTTAAGAAAAAATTTAATTTTTATTTTTGATGTTATTTCAATAAATAACATAATAAAACATGAATTTTGTGTGTAAAATTTAAAATATTTAATATTTTATCTTTAATTGGAGTATTTTTGGTTTAATTGTAATATTTTAAACTTGAGAGGTCTAAGTATTATACGCTTATAAACTTCAGAAAATTTGCATATGATTTACTAACAGATATACTAACAAAAATTGACGATATGAGTCTAAGTGTTACGCGTGTACAAATATTCAATGGTTTAAGTGAGTTAGTGACAAATTTAAGGAGGTTTGGGTGTAATTTACCCTAAATTTTGATAGTTGAAATATAAATTTTTAAGTTTATTTACAATAAATTTTTTAAAAAATTTTTAGAGTTTTTTGTATTTTGAACCTAGAAAAATTTCAAGATTTTTATTTTATACCCTTAAAAATAAAATTTTTCACATTACACCTTTAATATATCAAAAGTGTTACAATGTGAAATTTCTATTAATTTTCATTATTTTTTCCATTAAAATTCAACTGATTGAAACTGACAGAAGAACTAACGAAAAGTTAACAAAAAGATCACATTACAACATTTTTGATACATTGAAAATGCAATGTAAAAAATTTAATTTTTGAGAGTACAAAGTAAAAATCTTAAAATTTTTATTGNGTAAAACAAAGAATTCGGTGCAATCTGTAAATCAAGCTGCAAAGTGGGTGGCCGGCCAGATCAATTAACAGAGGTTTTAATTTCTGTAATTGAATTTATAATCCCCTGATGATTTTTTTTTTGGTCTGGTTACACTATCACAAAAGGTATCAGAAGCTAAAACAAAGACTTTGAAATGACTTCA